TTTTCTCTTTTTGTTGTGGACTCGTGTATTGCTCGTTTACATGACTGTAGGAGTTGAGGCTGGAAAAAAAGCTGCGGGAGAAGTTTTAGCTCTTCAAAAGCGTGTCCTGGTGGTACTAAACGAAGCAAGGTATCAGCAAACATTACCTCTCTCTCTCTCTCTTTCTCTCCTGGAGTCTACTTTGTTCGTCTGAAAAGTCATTAGCATTGATATTTTTCTTTTTCTTGTATTTTGTAATTTGTAGTTGTAAAGAGCCTGTTGAGCCATTAACACTTGAAGAGATAGCTGAACGTTGTCATGCGCCGGATGATGCAAGTCCCATCACACTTTGCTCTATCCTATTTATTATTTGCTTTTTATTATCAAACACTTTAATGATTTTACTTTTACTGCTCTTCGCTGGCAGATTGAAATGATCTACAAGATTATTGCGCACATGGCAGCGAACGATAGAGCTCTACTTGCTGAAGGTAGTTGTGGTTCACCGAGAAGTATTAAAGTTTACTTAGGGGAGTGTTACGTTGATGAGATGTACTGAAAAACATTGGAAGCTAGCATTTCCTATTTTCCATGAATCGGCCCCACATCGTCCGAAAGGAGGAAAAGATAAATAAGAAAAGATAAGTGAGGTTTGTTCCATTTTCTCTGCCAATGATTTATCGATGCTTTATTTGTGAAAAAAAATAAGGGCACCTTCAAATATATTCGTGCTTGGACGTTTTCTACTGAACTCTTGATGGTGAAATGCTCCGAAAAATGAAAGTCCCTTGTGGATGAAGGGATATTTTCAAACTTTTGGTTGGAATGTACTCCCTCCTATTTTTTTAAATGTCATTCTAGTTTTATCAACTATTAGCTAAATAAATGTCGTTTTGGATATTTTGAACATATTTTTCCATTATTACTCTCATTTAACTGATGCGTCTTTTCATATTCACTCTTCACCTTTTTCTCAAAACATTCATCTCTATCTTTTATTCATTAAATAAGGTTATTATTGACAAAAAAATATTTTTAATTAGTGTGCAACTTCTCAAAATGATACATATTAAAAATAGGAGGTAGTATTATTATAGAGAAATTGTCTTTGGAACTGGCTTACGGACACAAAATAGTGTAACATATCATGAATGTGCAATAATGAGGCCAGCAGAGCAGAGTGATGTATTATGATGGTTTCATCCTCCACAAATATGTACCCGCTTCCATCATATATAGGCATCTCACAATTGGTGGAAATAGACATGGCCCAAACACGGGCCGGGCCTCCGGTCTCAAAACATGGACCCAGACCTGGCACAGACCTATGCTCGGGCCGGTTCAATGACTTGATTAACCGGTCCAGGTCGGTTTGTACAAGAATTGCATAGATGAGGATTCGGTATCAGAGACAGATTGTCATTTTTAAAAGAAAAGAATATAGAATATTATTAAAAAAATAAAAAAAATCTGGGCCAAGGTCATGAAAAAATGACCTTAAATTGGTCCATCAAAATTCCGGTCCAGGCTCAAACCCGTGGTCAACGGGTTTGACTGAGCCGGGCAACCCGTGGCCACAAGTGGAAAGCTAAAATATGAAAACAGCATGGATTCATTACAAAGTGTGTCCAAGGGCCGCCCGGCCCGGTCCAGTTGATCGGGCCATTGAACCGGCACAATCATAGGTCCGTGCCGGATCTGGATCCCTATTTTTGAGCTCGGAAGCCCAAGCCTTGACCCTGCCTGTGTTTTGGCCATGTCTACATTACATTGTGATGTGGCGCTTATAAAACAAGACAAACATGGTGTCGTGCAAATTTTTAATCATCACTAACCAAGAAAAGTAATAAACATTTAACAGCAATTAGTCTTTAATACATCAATGTACAATTTTTTTTGGGCATTCACTGAAATTCCATCACATCATTCCAAAGTTGTTAAGGCCATGAAGCCACATTTAAGCTGTGTAGATCACCAATTATACATCTTTGTGTTGCACTAGTCGACTTTAACCTATATTTATTGTACACTCGGGCAAAATCACTATAAGACATCAAGTATCATCACAGTCAGAATCTTCGGCCTACTTGCTACCAGTGGCAACAGTATTATTTTCATCATCTTGCTTCAAATCTAACTGCCGTGCTGCTCAAATTCATTTAAAATAATGAACTGATGATGATCCTTAGAGCAATAACGAGACAAAGAACCCATACGGCCGAGGCAGTGGCGGTGACGAACAATTAATTATATGAACAAGGGCAAGAAGCATCTACCACCTGAGGCGGTAAAAATAAATAAATAAATTGGAGAAATACTTATTGACAAGTAATAATATTAGAAGCTGATAAAATGTAAAAAATAATACCACTTCCATCTCCTAAACTCAGAAACCATTCTAAATAGGTAACTATCAAGCAGAGTATGATGTTATTCCTTTGCTAAATATAAAGTCTTCATGTAAAGGGTAATAATTTTAACTCATCACCAAGGCTCCTTTTCTTGTTTGGCATTTAATGCTAAATATAAGTCTTGAACTAACTCTTGGGAAGGGTACTTTATTACACTGCATACATATACATATCTTATTATCATGGTCAATCTCAACCTTCAGACAAAACCCTAAAGCTAGCAGAAGTTTTGCAGATGTGGTGAAACATGGAGAAGAGGTTTTAGCAATGCAGGAACGGAAAAATAAAAATAAAAAAAATAAAAAAATGCCAGCTATTCAGAGAAGAGAAAACTACACTTCACGAGAACAACTCTACAACGAGCCTTTTGTACACGGATATGTAAGTTAATTGCTCAAAAAGCTATCAACTTACCCCCCACAGTAGGATGGACGTTCAATAAACTATAGCTTGTGTGACTCAGGAGTGCTCTCGTTCATGAATGCCTTTGAACGCCAGTTCTACGAAGCTGAGGATTCTCAATGGAGTACACGAGAAGGCTGCCATCTTTAGTCCCGGCTATAAAACATTCTTCAGGCGTCACAGTCAGCGAACTAATCGACTTTCCAGCTCCAGCATACTTCATAAGGGTTTCGAGCGAATTCATAGAGCGCAAGACAATCTGGCCCTGGTCCCCCGCACAAACCAGAAAATCCCCACAACTACTCAGCTCAAGGCAGCTCAGCCGGCCATTGGACTCGACAGTTGATATGTGCCTTCCGTTTATAGAATAGAGATGCAAACTAAGATCGTCCGCGTAAAGTACAATACGCCCATGACGAGAAGCTATAAGCTTGGACAGTGGTCTGCCACTAGGATGCCGAAGTGACCTCACATACCTACCTTCCTGCAGAGTATGGAAAATACAAGTCCCGTCTCGTGAACCACTTATTATGAGATCGAGCTCGGTACTCGCGTACAAGCATGTGATGATGTCATCATGTCCGCAGAGAATGTGAAATGGAGTGTCGGCAACTACGCAATCCTTCCAAGGGATTTCGGTCCTCGAACGGGATCTCTTTTCGGCATTTCTAACACGAAGAACTTCCCACACCATGACAGTGGTATCATAGCTTCCTGTAGCTAGAATGCTTCCATCAGCTGTAACTGTAATATTGCACAACTGTAGTAAGACCCAAATACATTGTTGATAATTTAGAATGGACACACATAATGTAAACAATATTGTCCATGATGCCTCAGACTGCTGAGTTACATAGGCAAGTAAAATTCTTTTATTGACTTTCACTTTTTATTACTTTCAATTGAAGAAGCAGAAGTCTATCATGCCTAATTGGATTGGATAATATATATAGGTGCATATACTTTATGCCTCTTCGGTTATGCTAAGTTGAGCAGCTCTTGCAGTTTGCTTTTGTATGTCTTTTCTACCTGTATACAGTAAAGAATACAGTTCTCACTTCACTGCAGCTTAGATAGGTCTTAACAAAAACTATACCTTCTCAAATTCATGAACCCCATTAACTTTCCAACTTAACAATTCTATTAAATTTCACAAGTGGGAGAATCTAAAATGCATTGGTGTGATTTTAATTAAATTGCCATCGAACAAACTAATCATATTTTAACGATTTTCGAGTTAAATATCTGTGAATATAGAATTAAAAAATGTAAATCAAATTATCTACCTATCATAATTTGAAAATAATAAATATATTATTTATCAACTAAAATAATTTTATCTATGAGTTAGAATAATTATTAGATTATATGAAGAGCGAGTCTTCAGGGTGATCATTGTCATTTTAATAAAATAATGCTGCAGTTTATTAAAAAAATATATACTTTAAAATTCAAAATAAACCCTTTATTTCTATTTTTATTTTTAAAATTTTTGTAGTTATAAATTTCTTAACTAACACCAATATAATACATGGATGTTGTACTACTACTAGTATCAATATCAAAGAAAGTGGAAAGAAATTGAAGGCAAAAGAGGGGATAAAATTGACAAGAAGAAGAATGTGCAATCACTTTTGTTTAATATGTATAGTTCCTGATCTAATATGCCACCAACATAATCTCAGCTATCAATTTTTCATGGTGAATTTAGCCTGAAATCATAAGATTAATAATAATAGAACTTAATCATTACTGCTAATCCACCTATTGCTAAGTGAAACTGGTTTTGTGAACTCAACAGGACATAATGTGGTAAGGGAGTATGAGCTCCTATATATTATGAAAACATTTTTGCAACATCAGAGACATGTCCGCTTCACAATTGCACATATTATAAATTTAGCGAGTATGTTAAAAGATATTTAATTACTAGCAAGTCACACGATAGAAAAGGCACATCAACAGCAACTCAGAATGACAAACTGAAGAACTGCTAATATATTCAATATTCAAACCATGCACCTTTTAAGTGAAGGAAGGGACAAGCAAACATCACACAGGCATTCATCAGACAAGCATCGTAAATATTATTAGTTGATGGCCTCTTAAATGTACTTTCATTGTGTTGAGTGTTCAGTTCCTTAAACAGTGGCAAAGGACACAAGTAGATCTTGGTTGAAGGCTCACAAAGAATGCCCCAAGATTATTAAGGGAAAAAATTCGACACCATTGGCATTATGTTGCATTTTATCGGAAGAATAGAACTCTTACCTGCAACACAGCTCACAACATCTTTGTGATGTCTGACACTCTGCACCATTCTTCCATCACTGAGGGACATGACCTGAAAACTATTTTCCCAGTTGCCACAGGAGATGAGAAAACTCTCAGATGGTGTTTGCAAGGTGGCAAAGCATTGTGCTCCAAGCTCAAAGTTATCGGCAAGAGGACTCCCAATTTTACAAGGAGAAAGTACATCGGAGCCAATCCCAAAGAAAGGATCCTACAAGAGAATCTAAATTTAGAATACACAACACATACAGTATTTGTATATGTACATGGAGTAGAAGCTCTACAAATTATACTCCATAAATTAATATTGCCGCCATAATGTAAAGATTTAATTTCCAAAATTGCATCAGGGAGATTATCATTCAATAAATTTAAAAATCTTTATATGATTAGAGTAATATGTCCTGAGGTCATCAGCTTATACAGGTTTTACTGTACATATTAGTAGTATATATGAAGAAGGAAAAAAAAAAAGGCTCGCCAACATGAGTTAACAAATGTACCTGAGAGCTAGAAAACGTAAAGTTCCCACCAGATTGCAATTGGGTAGTCAGCCACGTCTTAACAGACATCGTAAGGTTTTGGCTCACAGTGAGGATACACGAGTCCAATGCATTGACATAAAGTACCGCTGAAGAAGAATTGTTTACACCCGAAACTACAGAAGTTAAATTGATAGAGCCAGGAGCATATCTCAGAGGCTGAGCAATTGGGATTGGTGGCCCTCTCCTCGGATGTTTCTTCCGAAAAATTTGAATTGGCGTCTGACCAAAATTAGCAATCTGGTCTTCTATGGCTGATCTTTGCAAATCATCTTCCATGTTATCCAAGTCAACAGCACCTTCATATGTTAAATAATAAAAGATATTTGCAGCCTGTATACCAGTAACTCATATATCAGCCAAAATCACAATTATCACAGTCCACATTAAGTCTATAAGAAGAAAAACTATACCTCAACAGCTGGTTTTCCACGCTGCTTGTATCCAAAAACTAAATCAATCCAGTGATGGAGGTTTGAACTAACATACTCACTTTCAAGGGCCTCCCTGTTTCTATTAATGAATTCATCTGGTGAGCCCTGATATAAGCATTTGGATGGAACTGAATAAGTAAATGAAGTACAACTTAAAATAACAATAAAAAACTGAAAGACGTAATGTGAAATCAGGCATAATTAATGAACAAAAGAATAAACATAATCACATTCACAGTACATTTATTAGTACTGCATTGGCCAAATCCACCTCTAAAAAAACCTTACTAACAACAACATATCACCCATTGTCACTTGTAGAACAGGTAAGCAATTGCTGAATTGAGAAAAAAAATAAATAAATAACGCCATTTCTCAAACCTCAACAGTGTTTAGAACATATATATCCATTGTCCTATCCGTGAGTAGACTATGACAATAGAGCTCTTTAGTTTAGGACGAAACCATAAACCAAGTCCACAAGAGCCTCTCTCTCCCCTAATACCCATCTCCACTACCCCACTCCTCACAGAAAAGAAGAAAAAAGAAAGAAAGAAACAGAAAAAAAAGAAAGAACAGAAGAAAAAAAAGAAAAGGCAAAATAGAGAAACTATGTTGAGGCGACAAACATACCTTGGCCCAGAGAGGGAGGCAAACATCACCTATAGGTTCACCATCTTGTTTTACTCCAAAATGATATGAATTCGAATTCATTAAAAATTCTGGCATATAAAAGAATTCTGGAATCAATTCCTTCACATCACTTGTATTGGAAAGGCAATTTCTGTAAGTCCCTTCAATGCTTTGGAAAAGCCGGTCGGCATGGTCAAATTTACCACCCTGGTTGAACATAAAGCAAAAGTTTTCTTTTTAAAGAATAGTTATATAATAATCAAGTCACATGTCAACAAGATATGAACAGAATAAAGAATAAAATCCAAGAAAATATACTCTAACAAATATATTAGAACAAGAAAAGTAACTCCCGAATTCAAAATAGGAGCAGACAAAGAACTGATTAGAGCATACCTGCAAACTACGGTGAAGTGCGGTAAATGGCTCTAACCTAAGTAGGTAAAAGAGTACAATTCCCATGCTTGAGTAATGTGATCCGTAGTAGAAACTGTTGTAGAAAAACATAGAGAATCACCATAATGAATGTATATGAATCCTTGAAGAGAAGTTAAAAAGCCAAGAAGCAGAGATCTGAATTACCTGGGAATATCAGGATCGACAAAATTGTTGTATCTATCCTCAAACACCTGAGTTAATGAAAGTGAAGTGAAACACAACACTTAAGAACTTGAATGAGAAAAATAAATTGACAAACCTCAAATCGTTTTGGATCAAGGGCACCAACAGGCTTTGATAAATCTCTGAAAGTTGAAGACTTCTTTAGATCAAGCGTCTCAGATGAATAATCTGCTAATACCCATGGAAACACAGGATACTGGGTAATATCATTGTAGGATCTTCCTGCGAGGGTGTTAAGAATCATCAGATACTCAAAGTTTGTAATCTCTCTTCTCCTCCAGCTTTCTCTAGCAGTTTCCGCCATTTCCTGGGCTAGGCGTCTATCAACAAATGATATAGCTCCAGTTTTGTCCTTTTGTCCCTTGAGGAATACAGATTCATTTCTTGTTGCTACTATCAAGTTCCCAACGTCTTTTGCATCTTTTTGTGATGAAAAACTCAAAAATATTGGAGCAACAGAGCTAAGAAAGAAGATCTCTATAGCAGTATATCTCAGCAAATATCGAGTCCAATGGACGGCCTTGATCTATGATATACAGGAAATTGAAGTGCAGTTAAGGTATAATAGCATATGCACTTTTACAATTGAACCATAAGAAAGTAAACAAATGTTTAGTACCTTGGACATGCTCCACCACCTATGGCGCTTTACACTGTTATGCAGTTTATGATCATTAGTTCTGTCAACTGAACTAATATTCTCACCGACAGATGGTTTTTCAGAACCCAGATTCAAATGCATGGGCAATTTGAGAACCTTTTGCCTGGGAAGTCCTCCAACATGTTCCAGCTTACTGTGATCAGAATTGCCCGAAGAAAAATAGGTCTTAAGAACAGATGTCCCTCCTGTACCCTCCACCAAAAACTCACCAAAGAAATGTAAGAACTTTTTCATAATGGCCAAACGCCCAGCTATTTTCCTCTTTGGTGTTACCAGCACACATGGAATTTCCATGAGAACCTGAAAATACATTAAAGAGTTAATCAAATATATAGGCATAGCAATCCTTTATACAAGTTCAGAACCAAACCTCACTGTTCTCTGATTCTGTCACCGACAGATATTCTTCTCTATCTTGCACAATTTCCTGCTCGCCACCCTCCTTTGCCACCTCAGGATACTGTTTATCTGAAGAACCCTCAACCTCTGAGATCTTTTGCTGGCCAGAGTGAGATTCATTTTCATTTTGTTCTGGAGACCCCACATCAGTAATACTATGAATTCCTTTAACTGAAAATTGCTTCATTTTCTCTGCAGTCAGAGTTCCAAAGCCAAGTTTGCTATCATTTGTAGACGGACGTGCTCTGCCGCTAGGTACTACTAATGAGGGTTGACAAAGTTTATCATCAAAATGATAATTTTGTCTCAATTTTTGCCTACGACGCCATGTGTCCTCTGTTTTATCCAGTTTCCAATGTGTAACAAGGTTATTTGGGAAAGGATTTGCAGACCAAGGACCCCTTTCATCAATCAGCAAGCGCAAAGTATGAATCCACTTTTCCTGTTGAAGCAGTAACTCTATGTCTAAGCAAAAATAATTGCAAAATGTAACAAAACAAAAAGATTGATAAAGGCAACAAGTCACAAAAGATATTAGCAAAATTACAGCAGCAATTTGCTGGTCCTCATCCAAAGAGAGCTGAAACAAAGATCTTCTACTCTCATCCGAAGCAAGAATTGTACTTAAAGTACCATGTAGCTGATCCTCTACAGCTTTCTTCTGGTTACATTCTACTGATGCATTTTCTTCCATCCTACTTCGCAGTTCATCTAATTGCAAATTACGGTCAGCTGTCGTACACTTAATGTACTTGACTTCATCAGCAACCTGCATAATACGAACTGAAGTTCAGCATGACATGATTAGTAGATTAGAGAAAAATCACTTCAGTTCTTCCAACTGCTTTAGTTACAATAGAAACCATTTTCTTCGCCAACATCTGCTTGGTATCTACATAACATTTAAACTCAATTACTATAATCTGCAACAGGAAAAAAAGGAAACCAAAAGGAACAAACAAGACCCAATTATCCGACAGCCAACCTAGAGAAACAGATAACATGAGTGAGTAACAGAACTATAAAATAGTTCAAGGCCAGGCAAACTCCACTTTTCCACTTTCTTTTGGGATTATAAACATTTAAACAGCCAAGAGGGCAAGGTCCCAAACATCTTGCTACTTTCACATGAGTTTAACCATCTTCTTTCGCCAAAAACTATGTTTTCATTAGTGCAACTGACAATCTTATTTTGCTCAAAGGAGCCAATTCTACTAACAAAATATAGCAGAAAACTCTGGAAACGCACCGCACCAAGAAGTCGATCCTTTTGGAGGAAACTGAATAAAGTGTTTCCTTCCTTCGAATTATTACCCAAATCAGAGAAATCGTCACCACCAATGATACTCGTCGCCAGCATTGACTTACCACAGTTGATTGTTTCTCTTATCAAGCTAGAAATGACGTGAAAGCGGGCCCCGCCGTCAAGCATCCCATACTGGGACCTAACGACAAGCAATGACCTATGCAAAAGATGAAGATGCTATTAATTTCAAACAGTACACTTGCTAAGAAAGACCACCATGAACAATCCAGGTAACAAACGAGCAATTCCCAACTATGTCTATACTAGTTATTACAATCGTTACAGTTTGTAAAAGCAAAATGGCAAACAGCTCATAATATCACGACCTTTTGCAAAATTGAAATTTAATCACAACCTTTTTGCTTCTGCTCCATATATATTATAACCACCTTTTTAGCTGCGAAATAATATATCAAATTCACAAACTGCCCAACTATGCTCATATGTCCAACAACACTTATATGACGTGGCTTAGGCATCTAAAGTGTCAATTGATGTAAAAAGGCTTAATCGCTCATAATACCTACTTTTTGTGCATTTTCAATTTAATCACGGTCTTTTTACTTTTGCATCAAATATCGCGACCGACATTATCGCGACCGACATTTATTTTGAATTGGGCAGGATATTGAGCATCTGTTGTGTTTTTCAATTAAAAGAAAAATAAAATAAAATGACTGAGGGATGGACAAGGAGCATATGTTGTGTTCTTTTTATTGTTTTATAAGAAAAAACTTAAAATTACCGAGAATCTTGTTGAATGATCATAGGGATTTGCTATTTTGTAAAACTAGAACCTCTTTTAAAACAAATATTGAAATATTCGAAGGTGTTACAGTGGTACTTATTAATATATTATGTGTATATATTATAAAATATACATTTTTGGGTCGGCCATGGCTTCCATCATTTTCCACTTCGCATCTGCGATAGATATATAGCGGTTTTTGGATTTCCACCATGGCTCGCCATCCGCCAGTTAAAACACTGAAATTCACAAAAGATTATGATATTATGAGCTCTTAAGCCAAGAAAAATTACCAGATAAAAAGCTGCAGCCGATTCTTGCTTTGCTCATCATCAGCAGCCAGAAGGAAAGGCAAAACAGGAATGACCTGCTGAACACACTGTGATGCTCTCTCAAGTGATGATCTACAAAGATAGATAACCATGAGGCGGTTAACAAATCTTGAGCATCTTTCCCCTCTCAATAGCATAGCCTTGTCTATAGTTTTGTTCGGCTTTCCCACAAGTGCATTACTAATTCCCCCTGAGACAACTGCCGCCATCTCAGCAGCAGGGATGTTCAGTGATTCCACCAATCCACGAGCCCTTTGGCTTAATGATGGCGCCACAAATGATGAGGATCTTGGTAACATCTTGCTCGGTCCCTTTCCATTCATTTCACTGATGACGATCCAAAGATTGTCATATATATTCCACCACTCATCAGCAAACTTTTCTTCATTCAAGTCATGCTGATTCTGTCCCCAAGAGGTCCTACTAAAAAATGAAATACTTTACCAACAATTCTTCATATCTGAACATTAAAAATATAGGATGTTAATACCTGGTCAAGTCTGCAGCAGTTTCTCCCTGCAAAGCGTCAGGTAAAGCAGCACTTAAATCTGGCCAGTTGTCTAGTTCCGAAAATTGTGGAACCGTGGAACTGCTTGCAGGAAACTGCCACAAAAGAATGATAACTTTTTCTTTCATTCAACAGAATTATTACAGTTGCGGATGACTAAAATACATATTAATCTCAAGCTCCACATGAAAAATGAGAGAAAAGAAAAAACAGAAATAAAAAGCCAATAAAATAAAAGGAAAGAAAGAGGAAAAGACAAACTAACAGCTGAAAATTGCATATACAAGAAGAGAAGTTTAGAAGAGCATATAGAAAATCACTGTTCCACTTTAAGGACACAATACCTAGGTATGTATTTTTTGAATTTTGCTCAAGCATACCATTTATGGACCAGGGAATAACAAAGAAAGATTGAACCATCTTTCAGTTACCAAGGCTGCTGAGATAGAGAACTCATGGGGCTAACTGGATACAAACTCATCTTTGAATCTCCCTCCACCTCTCTCACATTAATATATATATATATATATATATATATATATATATATATATATATTTATATTTACACAATTGATGAAGAAGTGCAAAAATAAGAATAAAAATTGCTCAAGAATATGACAGCAACTTGAGCTAAGCCACATACCGGAAGGCAACGATCCATTTCAGATATCAGCATTTCATCAACTAATTTTACAAGGTACAATGTGTTGTCCCGACATGGCTGAGAGAGAAAAATATTTTCTTCGGTAGATAAGTTTATTAGCTTCTGGATCAACTCTTCATACAAATCACGAAGAAAATATTTATATGAGATAACCTGCAAAAACAAGACTATCATGGAGACTTATCCTTTGCTAATTTCTAAATGCATATTAGAGTTACTTTGAAGCAACACCTGGAACATACTTGTTGAGATTGAATTAGAAGGAAATTCACAGTTTCTTCTAAATGCTGCCAGCCACCTTTAACAGAAAGCATATAGTGACATAGAACAACACTGTATGCATTTCTCACAAAATATTGTTCATCCATCACAGGGTCACCGCGTATTTGCACTTTCACTTTGTAATTCTTTATCACATCAAGCTTCGTAGAGGCAACCAGCCAAGCATTCCATCCATTTTCCTACACAGAATGTTCTATTGTTCAGAAGAGTAATTTCGTTGATAAACAAAATCTAACCACAATTTTTAGTACCATAAGAGCTTCAATGTTTGATGGATTTGAATCAAGAAGATCTAGTAGATCACCCATAATTTTTATTCTTGATGTGTGGTCCTCGCAACCTGATAAAAATCTGAAAATGAGAGGTAAAACCTGAGGAAGGAAGAACTGACAATTATTTTTGTTGTGCTTCTGCCGATCAGATTGATAATGCTTTCGCAAAACCTGCATACACAAAATCAATAATGAATTCTGCAGCATGCAACTCTATATGCTTTGCACTGAAATGGAGGTACAGGAAAATGCGCAAAGATCTCGGAAATAATCAAGCAAGATGCATAACCTGTTTTGGGCTAGCACCACCTAGAAGAACATCAAACATCGTGGCACAGAGAAGTTCTGTCTGGGGAAATTTGAAAAGCCTGTCGGCTATCATGGAGAAAATTGGTAGCATATCAATGCTAATCTTTTTATGTCTTTCAGATAAAGATTTGGACTTCCCAACAGAAATGTTGAAAAATTTCGACCCTTTCTTCTCTGCTGGCAGACCGACTAGAAGCCTTCCAATGAATTGTAAGCCTAGCAATCTAACTGGCTCAAAATCCCTGCAATGATAATATAGATGCTTTTGTAAGAAACAAGAATGACCAATAAATTTTTTCAGCAGATGCAATAAACAAGACGTGGATAAACGGCAAAGCTTTCAAGCAATCTACACTTCGTACACTCATGGACGAGCCATGTCTTTCCAAGTACTTTCTATAGCTGGTGAAGCCAAGTCATTCCAAGTACTTTTGGTAGCTCACAAAGTAAGAACATGTTTGTGATTATGCAATCACATGGTCCAGAATTTAATAAAGTTCACAACTAACTAAACGTAATTGAAGTTCATATCCAGTTGGTACACCTAAATCAATGAACAACTTAATAATGAGAAAGCAAACAAATGACTAAACAGAACGTGAGAAAATAACAATTATGATTTGTGAAAAGATTCTTGTGTATAGAAACAGAATGCCAGGATCACTAAACAAGGATTTACAAACAAAAGAACTCAACAAATAGTAACGAAGATTGAGTCGTTTAAGCAAACGTAATTATTTTCACTTCTTTTAGGGGATTTGTTGTCAGTGTATCTCAGTAAAAAAGGCAGTGGGTGAAATTCAACCAGGCTGTATCAGAAACTGGAATCTGTAACTAATGTCTTTGAAAAGAACTTACTCTTAGAAAGAGGCTTTCTTTGCATTTTTCATTCTCGAATTAACAAGATTGTTTATTTTATCATCAACTCAAAGTGAAAACACAAGCTAACATCATGAAGTAAATAACTAGATTAAAGGACAATGTTATCTTATCATCTCTTTCAACTCTTCGTACCCCGAAGGACAATATTCTAGTAAAAATGCATGGCACTACTATCATGTAAGGAGATTTTTCTGCAACGAAAATGCTTCTAGTAATTTTTTTCTCAAACACCAACATCAAATTTAACGCATCTTATAATACCTCAACAAAAAATTAACAAAAATGTGACAGCCTCCAATTAAATGCACTTTCTCAAGAAAGGAACCAAGAAGTTGTTTGTGGGACACAGCACGTATCATCATGTTTACAATATCTTCAACGCAAGCCATATCCTCACAGGATTCACAAAATGCAACGAGCGCTTTTACATCAGCAACTGTTATTTGCTCCCTGCATACAAATAAACCAACAAAATCTGAGTGTGACAAAATACTATATATATTGTATATATAATGTTACATTTCATATCTTGTGAGCAAGGAAAGGGCATTATGCAAGAATAGAACCCGACACCATAAGGTTAATGTACAGTACCTGAGACTCATCTCACCAAGACTTAATAAAAGGAGACGAATTTTACGTATTTCTTCTTTGTCAGGCTTCTGTCCAATGCTTTGTTCTGTCATGACATACGTACTTCGCTTCTTCTCGAGAGCAGGTTTGCTCTCCGAATTATCACAGTAAAACTGCCGAACAATATCAATCACACGAGGCAGCCTACACAAACTCTTCAACAACCTCGGATCATTATCAAATTGCTGAATAAGGAACATGTACAGTTCCCGCTGCACCTTGTACACTGTGTTGACCCAAATATGGGGATCAAGAAAGATATAACAAATAGCATCTTTTACCAGCAATTCTGACAATCCTGAAAGTGAAAAAGAATAAATTACACATTGCGCAATGCTCCAGACTGTACTTACATCCAAAAACAAATGGAAGAGGAGAGAAAATTTCAGACAAATACTAGCCAAAAAGGAAAGTAGAATAAGATTCACACTTTACCGCCATTAGCAACAACACTAAACAAATGCTTCAATGATGAAAGAGTTTCCAAATATAGCTGCTCGGCAGGAACTGAGCGCAGTAAAAATCCCAGTACTGAAAATCCCGAAAGCAGCAGCATCTGTTGTTGATTGGCCAAGTTATCATCCAAAGTAGATGCTATAAGCTTAATGGTTTCAGCAGTTAAGTGACCCTTGGCGATAGGAGTGAGCAACATCTGCCCAATTCGTTCACTTTTGCTGTTTCCAAACATATCACACTGAGTTAGCAAAGGGAAAAACACAGACACCCCTCCAACACAATAAATGATCTGCTGCAGCAGCCTTCGAGAGCATAGCTGAGTGCCACCCAATACAGTTGCTTCAAAAAGTTTCCTATCAAGTGCACTATCCACAATTGGCGAAACATTAAATAATGTACGGCCATTACTTGCCTGAAAAAAAAATAGGTTATCTAAGCTGAGTTTGTAGTTAAACAATTATGTGAAATGTGGTTAACTGTATAGTATGACACATGAAAGAGAAAGAACCTGTGCATTTATTCCAAAGATAATCTTTGATGCTAGACCATCTTTTGCATCCAGAACTCCACCAGGCAAGAAGTTATCAACATAAACTGAAATTTCATTATCAAGAAAGTAGTACATATAACTTGGCCCTAGAAAACAAACGCCCTGCACAAGTTCAGAAGAGACGGCATCGCTGAACAAGTAAGTGGGACCAATTTGACCAAGAAAAGGATAAGAATCTTTGACAGAATGCACGCCATTCTCTTCCTCATAGCTAGGTAGATACAGTTTAGTTCCAATCGTGCAGCTACTCAATGGTTCACTCACTTTTGCATACCTGAAATTTCAAAAGATTCATGTCGAAAATCAAGGATAGTTAGCACATGATAAGACAAGATCATAGTTATCAATAGCAGATGGCGGCAAGCCAAAAAAATGCCATATATGGTGGGTAGCGTGGTGGAAGATGGTGGAAGGCATGGTGGACCCAGAAATATATTTTCATATATATATATTACACCCTAAATATATATACATACGAACACCAGAATAAAAGCTTCAAACATGACAATAAATACCCAAGAATGATTTTAGTTACATAAGAATGAGCTGAAAATCAAAGCAAATAGACAACGATCTCCAAAATAAAAGACAACCAGAAGAGTTTTTTAACACAGAAAGGGCTTAAAATTAGAATAAAAGTAAATAAAGAGCTTAAGAAAGTAAGGACGGCAAGAAAAACTGAGTTACTTTTTTTATCAACTTACAAGAAAGAGATTATATTAAAACCAACAAATAAAGAGCCGAAACAAACAAAGGCAAACAAATGCCTATCCAAATATTAGAAGGAGCAATAGGCACTGGAAGAAAAAATGCGAGTGAAACGGAACACAAACAGAGTACAGGGAAAAAAAACGATAAATAATGATCGCCAGAGGGTAGTTCTTCACACATATCTATAACAATCTAGGCTGATTTTTGCAAAATTGGGGCGACCCATTTACTTTTTCTTGCTGAATCTGCGGGAACCGAATTTTCCGCCATCAGCGCCACGTTGCCATGGCCACCATGCTCATGGCGGCATACATGGCACCGGCCTTGCAAAAACGCCATAAGGCGCCAGGCTAAAATCCACCACGCCATACCGCCATGGCTTCCATAAAACAATACTCCAAAAGATCCCACTCCTCGGAGAACTGAAATTACCTGCACTTTTCAGTGGACACAAGAACCCCATCCAAATAACATTTCAGCTGGCTTCCCCCAGAAAATGCTCTACCAACAGAATGAACTAAACAGAAAAAGTGCCACTTCTTTCGGACAAGGTTGAACTTCAACGAAACACGTTGCCGTTTCTGATTAATTGACTGAAATACAGACATGGGGTCGTTATTAAATGCATGTCACATTATCAGTATGGCAATATGCTACCATGAACTTAAATTTTAACAAACATTTGGTTAACCGATTCATATATGTCAAGGATGTCTAAAATTATGAAAATGATACAACTCAAGGTTCTGAGCTTTACCTCATAAATTAACTTGTCCTTCAAAAGAGCAGCATAGCAACCTCGTCCATTTTCTGTAAGAAAACTAAAGAGCCCCATTGATCCACTTTGAGGAAAGCTTTCTACCCGAAGCCAACATGTAAATGAAAATCCCTTGTTTACAGGCCACTGGACTGGTGTTTTGATTACAATACCCTGCATGTATAAGTAACATGAGAAATCAGAGTGATCATTCAGTAAACTACTACAAAATGAATTTAAAATGAAAACACGCTCATACAACTAAAGACAAAATTCAAAGGCGTAAATAGCTATAGTTAGAACAAGACTTCCTCGCAAAATTCTTTTTGCCAGTCACCATATCAATATCTTACGAGAAATGGAGAATGACACCAAATTGCAAGCTTTATCATGATGTGAAATAAAGTTATTGAATTCGAATGAGGGAAGAGGAAGAACAAGAAGAAGAGAAGAAATGGAGAAGCGGAAAAAGGTAATTAACTTTTTTGGGTCTCTACTTGCTAAAAGATTGGAGTTGAGTTATTTGAGTAAATAATAATTAAAGACATAATGTAAACATACATTGTTTTCCAACAAAAATATGGATAATGAAAGTTCAATTACAGTACATGATTCTTAGCAATGATTTCATAAATCCATAATTTTGTATATGACCCATTGTATTCACTTTCAATAAGCTTTCTCAGTAATAGTATAGTGGTAAGATAACAATTAGCAAGTTAGCTATAAAATTTCAAACACAGTGACAGTAAGCACACTAGGACCCGTCGTTCGCATCTGAGCCAATTACTAATATTTAATGGATTATTGGTTTACAAGTGCAGGAATGGTGGTTTCATGATTAGGAGTCACACTATGTTGTTTAAGAGATTATTTCCTATTTCAGTGAGTATGTCGGTGTCAAGAATTAAGAAATAGAAGTTGAATATCTTCTCCTAAAAAATTACGAACCGGAGCAACCAGCCTGTTAACCTAATCAAAAAGTGCAGAACAATTTAAAAGCTCGTGAAGAAATAAAATACAGAACCTCAACATACGGTAGATTGAATGCCAAAAATTTCAACTATTCATCTCACTAGAGAAAATTTCTCAAAAGGTGCACTATCCACTCCTCTCACTTTTTCGCACCTCAATTTACCAATACTATTTATAAATAGAACTCAATCAACACTACACATTTTCTTAAGTACTCATCTCACTTTTTCGCACCTCAATTTATCAATACTATTTATAAATAGAACTCAATCAATACTACACATTGTCCTATAAGTATTCACTCACATATTTCTAACTGCCACTCACTATTACATCACTTCAACTATAATAACATTTCTACCTTACATCCAGTTACACTTTTCAAATTATTTGGAGAACCGTAAGAAAATTTCCAAACACTTTCCTTGAAAGCAGCGTATTTCAACGAAAGCATATCAAATAGCACCCAAAATAGTTTATTCAGGTAAAAGAATTTCAATTACAAGAAAACAGCGATTATTTAACGTGCAATCCTATACTTGGGGTTTTCCATTATGCAATAACGTCATGCTGCTCTCAGTGAAGAATGTATAGTTGTATCCTGAAAGAACTAGACTTCCTTGCTGTTACGGACCTTATGTGGCATATGAACTGTTGTCTAGTGACAATGGTACTAATTACAATAAGCTCTTTACAGTAACTGTTGTCTAGTGATAATGGTACTAATTACAATAAGCTCTTTACAGTTTCGCCCAGCAAAGAATTAGGATTCTAAAAACAAGTGCTTGTCTGAGCACTTTTCAGTGGACCTCTGAAAGTAAAGTTCATTTTCCGTACTAATAGGTGTTTTGTAGTTAATTTGAAATACTTTTCGACAAGTTACTCATTAATGAAGTCCATTTTAGAGAAGTAATAATTAAAGTCTCTTTCAGAAGTCCATTTTCTGATGGCTTTTTTTGAAAAAGCTTCTAAACCACAGCTAAATTGTTTATAAAGTGATTCCAATTATTATATAACTTAAATTGCTGATGAGAGACTTCAACATAAGGGGTTCACAATTTGGTTATAATTTCTCTTTCGAATCAAATCCATTAGGTTTGTAAGAGCTATTTATCATCATTGAGAATGAGTGATACTTCCTCTCCCAGTCTACCAGACATTTTTGTATGTTACTCGATAACCTAAATGAGCAACCCGTTCAGTTATACATCCACATCATGAAAATCAAGTAGGAGCATAAGGATGGTTGGAAGAGGGATAATCAACAAAAAATAATAATAAAAATAATAATTATTATGATTCGTCCAGTGAGTGAGAAGCGAACTTACAGAATCAATCCCATTTAGATCAAAGAATGCTGTTGGACCCTTTTCGTTTAGCATTGCTGACATGCTAGTTAAGAGTAACGAGCTCAAGGATCGCTGAGGCTCAATACCCTGGTTACGAAGCATTGCGAAAAATTTCCGTATATCCTTTCCAGATATGCTATGCCCACCAATCACTTGTATTAACTGGGAGATTTTCCAAACCAGAGTTTCAGAGTTGTCTTGTGAAAACCAGTTCAGAAGAAAGTCAAGCATTCCTGCTCTAACACATGACGCCCGATTAGATAGGGAATCCCTTAGCAGATGCAGGAATATATTGAGCCCATGCTGCTGCAATGGATCACTGCTCTGCCCAATCATCAGAAGATGGTGTAATTTAGTCAGACAAATTTAAATTTTATCAAGAGAAAAAAGGAAACAGAAACACAGTTCATGTAGATACACAGAAGTTAGAAGATAACTCAAGATTGAAAGTAGCAAACCTTTTGAAGGACACTGAGATAAAGCAAGATCACGTCTTCATTCTGAGAAACAAGCAGCAAGACAAATATGAGGAATATAAGTAGATGAATGGAAAAAGTCATTGAGGTCCAAATAAATTGATATTTCTATTTCATTATTTCCCAGCTTGAACCACATTTACCTTTATAACAGAATTCACTTTCAGATCGAATTTCCCATCAACCAACATATCAAGCAGTGCACTTAGAAGTGATTCACTGGGCTGCCACTGGCAGAAATCCAACAACAAACTCCGTAAAGTGTGATAACTTTTTCCGACAAGGGCCCTAAAAGCAGCCTTCAAGATTGAGGGAGGGAATGAAAAAAATGAAAAGGTTAGCCTGGTATAATAATATAAGAGATGATGAAACCCATTCATGATTCATCAAGCTCCTCCAGTATACAGTTATCTACTTCTAATGTACAGTTATCCGTAACATGCGCATCGTTCATTAACTGAAAGAAGATAACAGAAATGTGAATTTTTCAGCCAAAATAAGATGTGTAGACTCTTGATTCAAATCTTCACCTTCAGATTTATTTCCAATTCTGTTTCCTTTTGTTTTATCTTTCTAAATGAAAAAAAAAAAAAA